TCTCCTTCTCCTTCTCCTTCTCCTTCTCCTTCTCCTTCTCCTTCTCCTTCTCCTTCTCCTTCTCCTTCTCCTTCTCCTTCTCCTTCTCCTTCTCCTCCTTCTTCTCCTTCTTCTCCTTCTTCTTCTTCTCCTCCTCCTCCTCCTCCTTCTTCTTCTTCTCCTCCCCCTCCTCCTCCTTTTTCTTCTTTAAATAACCACCAAGTCAAATCTCTGCTACCTACATAGTTATGGGTATGGAGCTGGATGGGCCACTGGAGCTTAACCAACCTATCAGGGACCACATTCTTAAAGGAATCTGATTCCCCCATAAGCCATCAACTACCATCAGCTCCTCAGTCAGGGATGGGGCTTGCCAGACCCTCCCTGCTTCATCTTCGACCATTGAATGGCTTGATCTTGTGCAGATCTAGTGAAAGCAAACACAGCTGCTGTGAATTCATGAATGCAGTAGTTTCAGTCAGGTCCTCCCTGACCTCTGGTTCTTATAGTCCTTCTGCTCCTCTTCCATGGGGTGGGGGCTACAGATGTTCTGCTTATAGCGGAGCACTCCATTGACACTTCTCTTCTGCACTTCGATAAGTTGTGAGTTTCTGCGTTAACCACTGTCTGTTGTAGAAAGAAACTTCTCTGATGAGGACTGAGAGCTGCACTTGTCTACAGATATAGGAATAGGATTTTAGAAAGCAGTTTGATAATATGTCCATTTAACAAAATATTAGTAGGTTTAACCATGGAGTCTATGAGTGCTCCAGGCAGAGTCTTAGCCAGATTTACAATACCAAACACCCATTTCCTCCTGTGGAACATGCCATAGGTTCAAGCAAACAGTGCTTGCTTACTCCATAACAGTTATACCACCATTATAACTATGGCATATTTTGCCATCCACGTTATTATTGTAGTTCACAAGGTTCTCAATTGGGTCGGACTCTTGATGACTTCCCCGTGCCCCAGGAACCTACATGTAGTACTATCCTGTACTACAAAAGCTGGCCAGTAGGGAGGTCAGTACTAACTTGATTTTTCCATGTCCTGTGACCAAAGTGTGTGGTGGATTTGGCAATAGAGTCTTACCCTCAGGTTCTGGTGGGCAACCAAGAGCAATAGCAATAGCCTGTATCATTTGGGAGATCTCTGAGACACTCCTGACCAAGAACTCTAGGGGAAGCATCCCAGCTGGACTGGGCTTTTTATTTTGCCATCTGTAGCTGCTGGAAGGAGCACTATCTGTGGCTTAGGGTGCTTCTCATGAAACTCTGGTTTTCTTATGTGGAAAAAGTACATATATGTGATGTTTATGAAGTAGGTTTCCAGATGGGAACATCCTTCGGTTAGTTCTCCCTCTCCCGGCCTCCTCTCTGCCCTTCCCTCCCATATCTCTCCCCACTGAAACCTCCCTCCACATATCCCCCCTTCCCCTTCATCTCACCTACATTCTACTGCCTTCCCTCCTTCAGCTCTGTCTTCCTCCCCCGCAATGGTCTTTTCCTCCTGAATTCTACACGTTCCAGGTAAAGGATTTTAGAGTGTATGTAAATCACAGGGGAAATGTATTTTAGTTATGTCACCCAAGACATAGCTGAGTGTGCCTCATCTAATTATATGATTACTAGATAATGTTTCAGCATTTAATAGTCCTTATTGAGAAATCATATTGCAGCTTCTGCATTATATTTTTACCTCCACTGTTGTCAGAAGCACAAGCTACATATTATCAATTGCACTTAGATACTTGACATTTAGACATGGTACAGAGAAGCAAATAACCACATATTTTGGTACAGTTTATGATGGAAGTGTATTTGTTTCATCACAAAACAAGAACCTAGTATTGTTTGTTGATTTCTTCACATCTGGCCTTTAAGTTGGCCATTAATTATCAGGAATGATGGGGTGTTTGTCAGGTAGATGTGAGGTAATTGGGGAAGTATTCTAGAATATTCTTGATGGCCTGTCTGCTGTCAAACAATTCACTGTCTTTGCACAAACAGAAGAGAAATCACCAAAGTAAGCAGGGAGGTTGAGGGGGTGGGGCGGGCTTCTCACCCAAATTCATGTATTCACTTCTGGAGTCACAGTCTCATGAATCTGACGTCACAGGTAGTGTGACTAATTTAATTTTCAGAAGTCTTTAAACCTTATTGTAAGCACTGTTTTCCTTTAGTGGGAAATCTGTTAATTCGGTCTTCCAGTGCAGAGAATGCTACCCATTTGATCGCGTATCTCTGTGCCAGGGCACCCCCTGGTGGTGAGAGAATAATCCACAGCTGCAATTGTTTCAGGAAATCCACACAGGAGGCTGGGCTCCAAGGCGAGGAATTACCAAGCTTTAGGTCATTCACATGGCATACTCAATTCTAAATGTAGTACCATGTTATTTTACTTGACTTTTTTTTTTTTTTTTAAGGAATCAGACTACAGTCCTTGCTCCACATGAAGCAGTCTTCAGGGCAGAAGAGCTCTCTGTGATTCTTAAAGCCTATGTGTTGGTGACCTCCTTAAGGCCTTTACGTGCGTTCATTCATTCAACAGGCACCGTGTGGAGCCCACCAAAGAAGAAACGCTTCACTGTTAAGGTAAAAATCCGACTGAAGCTGTTTTTTCATACAGTTCGCTGAAGATAAGTAAAATGGGTTGGACTGCCATTCTCCGACCTTTATGGCTATCAAATCCCTTTGAACAAAGATTGCATTTTTTTATTGCTGCAAGCCGAGATTTTTATTTAATTAATGTGCAAGTTCAAAAATTAGCTGGAAACAGCTTAATTCACTACAGATCATGAAGGCCACATCCTATTTTTTTCTCTCCTCAACCCATCATTTTAGTTCGGTTCTTTGGCCTATTAACCAGCTAGTTCTTACCTGTTCTCTGTTTTTCCTGACTTTCCATTTAAGAATATATATATAGTCAATGACTGTATATATAGCTAATGTAACAAATGAAAATATAATTTGTCTATACACATTCTGCTTCCTCTTTGGTAAGCTTGATACTGACGTGTACCTGTCGGGTGAGAAGAAAAGCCCTCAAGCGTGCCCAATATTGCAAGCATTGCTATCAAAGGTAACGAGGGCGTTTGCAGGAAGAGCTGACTAATACCTCCCAAAAGGCCGTAGCTAGAAGTTTCTCTGGTCCTGCCTGGGCCCTGCAGTCCCGTGGCCTGCTTATAAAATAATCACACAGAGGCTTAATATTATTTATAACTGCTTGGCCATTAGCTCAGGCCTACCACTGACTAGCTCTTACATTTAAACTCAGCCCATTTCTGTTCATCTCTATGTTGCCACATGTTCTATGGCTTTACCTGTGGGCCCTGGAAGGTAGGCTGCCATCTCCCCCTTATCAGAATCCTCCTTATCTGCTTATCCCGCCTACGCTTCCTGCCCGGCTACTGGCCAATCAGCATTTTATTTACCAACCAATCAGAGCAACACATTCACAGCATACAGAGCGACATTCACATCACCAGGCAGTGCTGGAGATCCCATCTTGGTGGTGGAGAAGACAGGGTCAAGTGGTGGGCTGATCAACCCTGCAACACCCATGCCCAGAACCAGGGTTATTTGTTGGCCCTTCCCAACATTCACCCCATCTGTGATCTGCTGGAGCACAGGGTAAGGTGGCCAGTCCCTCAGACCCAGGGCTACAGGATCTCCAGGACACAGGGCAGCAACAGGATGTCCAGGAAGAGTCCCAGTGAGGGCCCAGCATAAATGGTATAGCAGAGACGGGGGCCTCGAACCAGACCAATGATTCTTTGCCATGAATGCCTGCATGTGAAAATGTATGGCTAAAGGGGTTCACTGTGTGGCTCACTGTATCACACTGCAGCTTCCATGACGAAATTTTCCCGTTCTTGCTTTTTTTCCTCCTTTTTTCTCTTAAATTTTATTTTGTTTATTTTGATGGGGGAGGGAGATGGGTGGGATCAGGAGGCATGATGTAAAAGACACAAAGAATAAATAAAAAGAAAGTTTAAAAAAAAGATGTAGTCCAGGTTAACTTGGTTCAAAGTAAGTTTTCTGAGAACACATTGGATAGAATTTAAGGAAACTTTGATTATCCAGAAAATCATTGTTCAGAGTGCTTGCAGGAAAAAATGGGAAGAACTAGATGAATGCACAGTGCCATGAGGTTCAAAAGTGACTGGATGATTTCTTTTTCTGAATTTGCCTTATATCAATTACACTCTGAACTCTGGCAAGTGTTCCAGTGAGGAGGACACTTAAATTGTTCATTTAAATATGGTAATGAAAACTCACTGACCTAGTAATAGATGTAGGTATTCTGTAGTCCCAGACGTAGCTCACATTCTACGGAAGCAGATTGATGGCCCAAGTCTTTAAACTTGCTTCTTTTAACCTTCAAATAGTCATCAGAACTCAAATCTATAAGCGTCTGTGGTTTTCTGGGAATCTTGAAAGGACAGAGTCCAAGCTGGTTTATTCCAGAATGCTGCTTCAAGTTATCACAGTAGCTCCTCATGCCACGGTTGTTCCCATCTCCCCTTTCTATTAATCTAAACTAAATCCAATTGCTGAGTTTTAACCATTTTGACCAAAAAAAATTGTACAACTTCATATGGTTTAACCAAGTAGTGGAAGTTGGGCATAGACAGATGAGAATCATAGTCCTCAGTTATGTTAAGAATCATGTTACATGTTACTATTCACAAATGTAAGACATATTTAAGCACAGACCAGGAAAGTCAGTAGTGTGGTTCTATCTGAAGGCAAAGACCTGGGAATGAAGAGCTCACATTTCACAGGGCAGCGGTGACTGAGGCACTCAAACACACACAGGCGGCTTTGGAGGGTTCTCCCCTTCTATCTATCTTCTTGCTTAGTGTATTTTCCTTTTATTTCATTAAAACTAGTTTCCCATATTTCATTGTAGGGCTCAAATATTCTCCAACTTTGAAAGTTATCATTCTTAATGTATGTAATGTACAACAGTCACCATTAGTTTCATGAATCCAGTCATGTTTATTTTTCTATCATGATATTTATTTACTTATTTATTTTGAGACAGAATCTCAGTCTAATTTGTGGTCCTCCTCCATTGGCATCTATAAGTTAGGACTGCAGACATTCTCCACCAGGCCAGGCTATTGCTCAATGACTCCTGAAATGTTTTTTTTTTTTTTCACTGACTTCTTCTCCTTCTTTTTTCTGTTGGCTAAATTTTGATCTTTCTGTTTCTACTCTTTTTGGCCCTTGTGTGCTTGTGTGTGGGGGGTGTGTGTGTGTGTGTGTGTGTGTGTGTGTGTGTGTGTACACGTAGGACTCATGTGCACACCACACCCTCAGACTCATGAGTGTGTAGCCATGCACATGCTGAGGCAGAGGACAACTTTCAAGAGTTGGTTCTCCCCTCCTACCTTTATGTGAGCTCAGGGGATAGAACTCAGATTTCCAGGCCTGTGCAGTGCTTTTATCTGCTGAGCCATTTCACTGTAAGATGATGATGGTGATGATGATAGTGGTGATGATGATGGTGATGGTGATGATGATGATGATGATGATGGTAATGATATAATGTACGTGTCTATGTGTGGTATGGACTCACAGTCCATGACATACTTGTGAAGGTCAAAGAAACCGTTCATGACTCAGCTGTCTCCTTCCACAGTGGGTCTCAGGGTTCAAACACAGGCCACCAGACTTGGTGGCCAGTGCCATTGCCTGCCGAGCTATGGACAGCCCTCTGTTCTTACTATTTATACTTTCTCGTATTTTCTGTCTCTTCATGTGCTTGCTGGAAGCATTTGTTTGCAGGACAGTTTAGTCTTATCTTTAGTTTTGTATATATAACGCATGCTGGTATCCCTTGAGTTTTACTTCTATTAGTTTCTTACTTCAGTCGCTCTTCATACTGTTGGTAATTTCTCTTCTATATTTCATTTTACTTCCTCTTTGATGATTTCCTGGAATACATTAGTCATGGCTATATTCAATTACAGTTTTACTGCATTGTATGTATTAGTCAGCTTGTTACGTTTTTGTTGAGGTAGTTGTGCTCTTCCCATGCATGATGACCATGGACCAACTCTCTGAAACTGTAAGCAAGCCCCGAATTAAGTGCTCTTCTTTATAAGTTGCCTTGGTCATGGTGTCTCTTCACAGCAATAGAACATTGACTATGGCAGTGGCATTTGGGGTTTGAGAGTAGACGGGGTAGAGGGTCTCATATGATTGGAAATCCCGCACACCTCAACTACCCCCTTGAGCAGGTCGTCATCCGTAAATCCTGAGCCTGCACTCAGCCTCCTTCAGAAGGAGGAACAGCAGCATGAGGGGAAAAACACAGAGAGGAGGCAGGCGGAAAATCTGAGCTTTTCCCCTGAAAATTTAAAGTTTAAATGATCCTCTCATGTGGCCTCCAGCAACTCCCTCATACACATGCAACTCCCTCATGTTAATCTTCCCTGTCCATGGCCATGACAGGCCCAGCCAACTCAAAATTGCTTTCAGAATGCCTTTCGCACAGGCTTTTGAATCTTGTTCTTTTAAAGCCAAACCCATGCCTCTGACTCATTCTATCTATCCTAGTTTCTGACTTGAAAGGAAACCCAAGATCTGAACTATTCTGGTAATTTCAAAGGCATTTTCAGCCCCCCCCCCATTTTTTGCATATAAAAGAGCCGCTCCACCTACCGCAGTGGAAATAACCCCAGAAGTAATGAGTTTTCTGTAATAGTTTTATTTATGCTTTACCTGAAGCTAAGTCCATAGGCGTCAGTCTTCTTTATGTTTTCAAGCTTTATTCACTATTTTTTCTTTTCCATTTTTTTGTCATGTCCTCAGGATGGATGTGTGCCGTGCCTGTGCACAGTAAAGCATTCAACTCTCACCGGTTTCATTCTGTTCTTGGGATTTATCTTTTTAAGACCTTGCCTGATTACTCCTCAGATACCTTTATCTGTGGTTAAGGTGAGGTAGAATGGTTTCCTGAGAATGCGGAAGGAAATTGTTCCCTTGGTAGGTCACCATTATGCTTGATGACGAGGAGTTAAGAAAACAAGCATGGTTTTCATGTACCCTTCAACTGAAGTACCTAAGTTTTCCAACAAAGGATCTTATTTGTCTGGCTGGTCAGGTTTCCATTCTGTAAATATTATTTTCTTCTGATATTTTTCAGATGTATAAGTATACACAGAAACCTCTTCACGCCAATATGGAGGACAAAACATAAACAAACTCACTTAATATTAACCATGTTATATCAGCATGCTGCTAAACTCTGTCCATAAATTCCACAAGATGTGTGTGTGTTGTGTGTGTGTGTGTGTGTGTGTGTGTGTGAGAGAGAGAGAGAGAGAGAGAGAGGGAGAGAGAGAGAGAGAGAGAGAGCATATTCATGCACTGAGTCCTATATTCAGAGGCTGAATTAGTTAAATCAGCAGTGATTTATTCACTGTTCAGTGTGTTCAGTGAGGTAAACACACTAACCTGGTTATCAGTGGCCATGTATAGAACATCCTGGCAGCTGAAGAAAACACAAAAAGCAGTAAGGAATACGACTGTGAGTTCATTTATTTCCAATTAGGCCTGCTGCTGGGATGCCTTGTCTGTGA